ATCTTAGCTGTAGAGGGCAGTGTCACTGGCCCTCATATGTGGGATCTGAACCAGGGCCCTCTGGCATCCCAAGCCAGTTCTTAACCATCGCACCATTCAGCCGGCCCAGAAAGTTCAATTTTAAATGAGGTGCATGTGGTAGGCCTCACTGAGGAAGTGGTATTTGGGCAAAGACAGCAGGAAGACAAGAAAGAGCCAAGTGGACAGGTGTGGAGAAAGTAATCCTGGCAAAGGAACTTGAGATGAGAGTCTACCTGAGGTGGTTGAAGGAGAGTGAGGAGGCCAATGTGACTGGGAGGCGAGGTACTGAAAATAATATGACATGAATTCAGGGAGGTAAAGATGGATGTGTGGGGAGGGTCAGGAGGGAGTGGGATGGAGTCCTCCGGTGATGGAAAGGGGAATGGCAGAGACATCTGTAGGACCTTGTGAGCCATTCTATGGGCTTTAAGTTTTATTCTCAGTGACATGAGATCCCTTATTGGAGGGTTTTGAGCAGAGTAGTGAAGTGATTTTTCTTATGGTTAATGTACTGAAAATAGAATGTCGGGGGTAAAGGTAGAAGCAGAGGGAGCCCATTTAGGAGGGTAATCCAGGCAAGAGCTAATGGGAGCTTGAAGCTCGAACCAGGGTGTTAACAACGAAGGTGGTGAAAATGGTCATATACTGGGTATATTTTGATGGTAGAGCCAAGAATTTCCTCTATGGGTTCTAAGACCAAGAGAGGAATCAAGGTTTTAGCCTGAGCAATGATGTCATCACCTGATATGGGGAAGACAGTAAGTAGAGCAGATTTGGGGGTAGGGATCAAGAGTTAGGTTTTGGAAATGTTGAAATGAAGATACCTATTTTTGTCTTAAAAATAAGATATGGGATGTCAAGAAGGCAATTGAATGAGTGAATCTGGAATTCAAGGAAGAAGTCTGGACTGCAGATATGTATTTGGGAGTGATCAGTATATTGATGCTATTTAAAGCTGTGAGGTTGAATGAGATCACCAAGGGAGTGAATGTGATTAGAGAAGATAGGAAGCCCTGGAGCCCACCAAAGTTGGGTGCTCAGGGAGATGAGAAAGGACCATCAAAGAAGACTGAGAAGCAATGGCTGGTGGCACAGGGAAGAAACCTGGGAGTTTAGGGCATCCTAGAGCCAAGTGAAGACAGTATTTCAAGCAGGGAGTGACAAAACATACCAAAGTCTCTCAAGTAAGATGGGTTGTAACAAATGACCACTGGATACAGTAATGTGGAGATCATTGGTGAATTCAATAAATGCAGTTTCTGTGGAGTGGGACTTGTGTAAGCCTGAATGGAGTGGCTTTAACAAAATGTAAGAAGAAAGGAATTCGAGACAGTGAAAATATAGTTTTGCTCTAAAAGGGGTTAGAGTAATCAAGCAGCAACTAAAGCATTAAGAGAGTTCAAGATACAATAAATAACAGCTTGTTTGTAGAAATGAGAGAGAGAGAGAGAGAGAGAGAGAGAGAGAGAGAGAGAGAGAGAGAGAGAAATTGATTGAGAAACAGTGTAGGAGACAAACAATTCCCTAAGCCTGCTATGTGATAGGATTATATGCTTTGCTCTCTCCACTCTTTTTTTTTCTTTGTGGAAATAAGAGATTTTTTTAGGTTTTCAGAACAGATTGTACTGTTTGGACTGCTTATTCTCACGAGAACCTCTAAAGGCTATTTTATCTTCTTTGAGTAAAGTTTACATTCCACACTTTTGATTTCCTTTGGAAATGTTCAGAAATTAACATTTGGAGGAAATACTCTAGGAAATTTATCTTCAACATTACAGTATAAAGATCTGTTTGATGTGGGGTTGTGTATGTGTGAGTGCGAGCGTGCAAACTTCTGAAGTGTTGGAATTTAAACTCTTACTTTATTTCAGCATCACATCTGGAAGTTCAGAGTCAGATACACAACAAAGAAACAAAATATCGGTAAGAAATAAGGTTTGTATGAATTACTTTTTGGAAAAAAGCATTGTAGTTAATGAAATTGTAAATTGAATTAATATTTAGATTTTCCTAATATGTTTCATTTTCACATCTTACTAAGAAAAGATTATAAAAATAAAACATAGAATGGTCTTTCTCAAGTTGAATGAGATAAAATGGGCAGAATACCAACTAAAGGATGCTATCGGGCGGCAGGGAAATTCGGTGTGGTGTGGCCTTTTCCCATTTTTAATCAAACCTACACTGCTCTTTGTGACCCTACTATATTGTAAACGTCTTGGGTTACTTCAGAGCATTTTCTCGTGAGGAAATCCTGAAATTCAGATATGATACAGATTGGGTCAATCACATTATTTGGTTTATTCAGACTTGAGTTTAAATCACAGTTGATTCCAGGTATTTCCAATTCATGCTCTTTAAAGTCAGCTGATGACACACCTAGCTCTGACCCTTGAAGTTTTCCCTCTTCCATGAGCTCTGCTGATTATGAGGGTGGTTGCTGAAGGTTAGAGTGACTGTAGCAATTTCTTAAAACACGACAATAATGAAGTTTGCCATTTCGATGGACTCTTCCTTCCACGAACATTTTCTCTGTAGCGTGTGATGTTGTTTGATAGTATTGTATCCACATTAGAACTTCTTTCACGCCCTGGGACAGCTGGGTTTTCTGCCTGAGCCTCGTCTAGTCCCTCTGTGTATTACTGATAAGTGTTGAAGCTAGGTGATTGCTACATGAGGACTCATTATACTAGTTCTTCACCTTTATGGAAGTTTGGAAATTTCCCTTCAAAAAGAAAAAACAAGGTATCTGTACACTCTGGATTCAGTTTTAGTAAAGATTCCCTAGATTCCACCCATAGGTAGGCATTTCTGACAAGCACTTTCAGCTCTAATGGAAAGGCAGTGTGGCATAAAAGAGTGATCACAGGACTAGGAATTAGGCCCAAATGTTCAATCTCCGAGCTGTGTTAAACTCCCTGAGCCTATTTTGCACCCATAGGATGAGGATGATAATTTAATAGTCTGTAGGCCTTCTTCAGAGATACTGCAGTTTTTGTTCCAGACCACCACGATAAAGCAAATATTGCAATAAAGTGAGTCGCATGATTGTTTTTGTTTGCTAGTGTGTATAAAAGTTGTGCTTCCACTATACTGGAATTTATTAAGTGTGTAATAGCAATATGTCTAAAAAAAAGGGTGCATAGTGTACCTTAACTTAAAAATACTTCATTGCTAAAAATGCTATCATCTGAGCTTTCAGTGAGTTGTAATCTTTTTTGCTGGTGGAGGGTTTTGCCTTGATGTTGATGGCTGCTGACTGATTTGGTGGTGGCTGTGGCAATTTCTTAAAATAAGACAGCAAGGAAGTTTGCCATATTGATTGACTCTTCATTTCAGGAGAATTTCCCTGTAGCATGCAATGCTGTTTGATAGCATTTTACCCTCAGTAGAACTTTTTTCATAATTGGCGTCAATATTCACATGCCCTCTTGCTGCTTTATTAACTAAATTTATGTAATATTCTAAATCCTTGTTGTCATTTCTATAATCTTCATTCATTTTAAGAAACCACTTTCATCGCTAATCCATAAGAAGACATTTCTCACCCGTTAAAGTTTTACTATGAGATTGCAGCAATTCAGTCGCATCTTCAGTCTCCACTCCTACTTCTCTTGCTATTCCCACCACATCCGTAGTTACTTCCTCCACTGAAGTCTTGAAACCCTCAAAGACATCCATGACGGTCAGAATCAACTTCCTTCCAAAGTCCTGTTAATGTTCATATTTTGACCTCTTCCTGTGAATCACGAATGCCCTTAATGGCGTCTAGAATGGTGACTTCTTTCTGCAAGGTTTTGAATTTACTTTGCCCAGATCCACCAGAAAAATCATTATCTGTGGCAGCTGTAGCCTTACAGAATGTATTTCTTAAATGATAAGACTTGAAAGTGGAAATTGCTCCTGGATCGATGGGCTGCAGAATGGGTGTTATGTTAGCAGGCATTAAACATTGATCTCCTTGTGCATCTCCATCAGAGCTCCTGGGTGACCAGGTGCATTGTCAATGAGCAGTCAGTAATATTTTGAAAGGGATCTTTTTTTTATGAGCAGTTGGTCTCAACAGTGGGCTTAAAATATTCAGTAAACCATGTTGCAAACAGATGTGCTGTCATCCAGGCTTTGTTGTTCCATTTAGAGAACACAGGCAAAGTAGATGTAGCATAATTCTTAAGGGCCCTAGGAGTTTTGGAATGGTAAATGAGCACTGGCTTCAACTTAGAGTCACTAGCTGCATTACCCTTTAGCAAGAGAGTCAGCCTGTTCTTTGAAGCTTTGAAGACAGGCATTTGCTTCTCCTCTCTAGCTGTGAAAGTCCTAGGTGGCACCTTCTTTCAATATAAGATGGTTTCATCCACATTGAAAGTCTGTTGTTTAGTGTAGTGACCTTTGTTAACTACCTTAGCTACATTTGGATAACTTACTGCAGCTTTTAAATCAGGATTTGCTGCTTCACCTTCCACTATTTTTTTTTTAGTTGAGCAATCCTGCCACCTGTTGGCAGCTCAGCGGCTGCTCAGCTTGGGCTGGGAATCGAACCACTGTTGCTCAGAGCTCAAACTCTTGAGTGAGCTCTTAACCAACTGAGCCACTCAGCCGGCCCTTCACCTTCCACTTTTATGTTATGGAGACATAAACCTCATGAACCAACCTCTCCTAGTGTCAAACTTGTCTTCTGCAATTTCCTCACCACTCAGTTTTCATAGAATTGACAAGAGTTAAGGCCTTGCTCTGGATCAGGCTTTGGTTTAAGGGAATGTTGTGGCTGCTTTAGTCTTCTGTCCAGACACTGAAACTTTCTCCATATCAGCAATAAGGCTGTTTCACTGTCTTATGATTCATGTGTTCACTGGAGTAGCACTTTTCATTTCCCTCAAGAACTTTCCCTTTGCATTCACAACTTGGCTAACTGTTTGGTGCAAGAGGCCTAGCTTTGCCCCTATTGCAGCTTTTGACACGCCTTCCTCACTTGCGTTCATCATTTCTAGCTTTGGATTTAAAGTGAGAGACATGTGATTTACTTCTGCTTAAACACTTAGCCATTGTAGGGTTAATTAATTGGCCTAATTTTTATATTGTTGTGTCTCAGGGAATAGGGAGTCCAGAGGGGATGGAGAGATGGGGGAATAGCTGGAAGGTGGAACAGTCAGAGCACCCACAACATTTATTAAATTTACTGTCTTATAAGGGCTCTGTTCATGGCGCCTTAAAACAATTACAATAGTAACATCAAAAATCACTGATCACACAGATCACCATAAAAAAAATAATGGAAAAGTTTGCAATATTGTGAGGATTACCAAAACATGACACAGAGTGAGCAGAGGATGTTAGAAAAATGGCACTGATAGACTTATTTGACACAGGGTTGCCACAAACCTGCACCTGGTAAAAAATGCAATATCTGCAAAGTGAGAGAAAGCTAAGTACAATATAATGAGGTATGCCTCTATTTCCAATAAGATGTTTGGGATGTGAAAATTGTTGGTAAAGTACCTACAAGTGCACAGGAGTATAGTTATTGGAAATCTAGAGCATTCCAATGGGCTCCCCTGGGGTCCCAGGGAAACTTGCTCTTTGAATTCTGCTTCTTTCCATATTCAGTGGGTCTGCTCTACCATTCCCATCCCATCCCAGCATTACCAGCTCAGAATAACTGATCTAGTGAGATGCATATCCAGAACTTCACTTCTGCACAATTATTTTTGTGCATAAAAGGTTAACATCTCTTTTCTAAGTACAGTTCATTTAATCTGACTCCAGACAGACTGTTCACATCTCTCAAATCCATAGTAATTTTCAGGAGAGTGTTTGGAGGAGAAATATAAGTCAATTTAGATGAGCAGAACACGACTTTAATTAAAAATTTGTTCTCTAACTCTAGTGTTAGTTTAAGCTTATATTGCTTTTATTTTTCAGTTAGCAAAAGAAAACCTAACAGTGAGTTTTTATTTTATACGGTAGAACTATTTATGATTCTGTTGCTCCAAGAAAGGGTATCCTTCCCTGGTGCTATATGAAAACATTTTATGTTTGGTTAGACCCTTGGGTTAGCTGTTAACGTGGAGACTTTGGGAAATGAGAGACTTCCGCTAGCCAGCCTGTGTTTACAGCCCTTTCCTCTAACTGTGCTAATCAGCTAGCACCCCAGAGGGAACCCTCTTACTGAAAAAGAGCAGGTGCCAATTACCACATTTAGGAGTTCTGCTGAGGGCTCCCAATTAGCTTCCTGGAGTTTAGCATCTAACTCCTTTCAATTTACGTTTAACAGCATTGGGAGCCCTGGGACTGGAAGCAACTGGTTCTGCTTTAGTTACTATATTTTTACATTTCTAAAAGAATAAATTTAGCTGGAGGAGGTGAGGGTTAGAGATCTCAAGGCCATAGGGTTCCCACAACTGGTGCCGGCTCCTCCCTACACAATCCCCTTCAAATCTTGGAACTCATAGAACCATTGTCATGCAGCAGAGCCTATCCTGCTCTGTACCACGAGGAAGCAAATTGCAGGTGGATCTCAGATGCCCTTTTTAAATAATAGCTAGCTTGGGCAGAGAAGATCGAGATGAAGGGTGAAATCTGTTCAATTCTGTGAAGAAGTCTTGACCACCCAAGTGGAATGGAACACGGTCTGCGTTTGTGGCAACACAACCTGGAGGTGAACCCCTATTTTCCTTGGCCACACTGGTTTCTGAATACTCTTTTAGCTTTTGGACTCTCCTGGTACACTGTGCATTCTGATGAGGACTGGCCTTTATTCCTCTCTGTGTCCATGGAACAAAGTTTCTGATACTAAAACGGTACTCAACAGCTCGTTTGAAATACAACAATTGGACTGGGCTCCATGCATAGCACTAGGTAACTGACAGATGCCATGGGTCTGAATTCTTAGAGCAACAGATAGGGGTGGTTTCTAGAATCATCAC